GGTTCACGCTCTTCCATCCCCATTCGCGGGTGTCCCCGGTGCCTGCCCTCCCCCGCCCTTCGCCGTACACCACCGTACAGCGTCGTGCACCGTGCACCCCCTCCACGCACCCCTCGCATTGTCCCTCGTATTGTTCCGAAAGTTTTCGACGGAGCCGAGCCGCGTCGAGCCGAGCCGCGCCGCATCGCGCGATTACCATATGAATTAAAGTAATGTGATATACGGTCACGGGGTCTGTGCCGGCGGGGTCGACTCCGTTTCCAGAAGACGCCGCCGACCCCGGGACTAAGACGAGGAGGAAACGCCTGGGTCCGGAAACGATCTCCGGTCGGACCGATCGCGAACACCCCCGCGACCGACCGACGCGTCGCGTCGGGTCGCGACCACAGCACCCTTGCACTGGCACTGCAAGTTTTTACACCGAAACTTCGCTCCGCCCGCGCGACCCCGCGCGCCACACACTTTCCGACTTGAGAAAGCGATTGATTCGATCGAGTTTCTCGAATAAAATTTTACTGTCGCCCCGTTAACGCCCTCGGGAAAACACCCGGAGAGTGGCTGCTTCGCCCGCTGCCTCGTTCGCCGAAGGAGGAAACCTTTATCGACGCGCTAATACTTGGAATAAACTCGACTTTTATCGCGTTCCCGGCCCTTGGAAGATGATGGATTCTAGAAGGTGTGTAATTGCGCCGAGCAGGATACGGGCATCGTTTTCGCAGCGTCCAGAAACGCGTTTCTCCCAAAATTAAATACATAAATGAAATAAATTAATTTTCAAACTTCCATTTTTGAGTAAGAAGAAAAACTTTTTCGGTGACAAAATTATCGGATTGTAGAATACATACACGATTTCCTTCGATGTCACGTACACAAATCATAGTAAAAATTTCAGCTCTGCAATCTCCATTTTTGTGTGAATTGCTTTGATTTTAGCAGCAATTAACTGTACTGCGGCTGTGTGCAAGGTAATTTTGTTTATTTGAAAAAATGTGTCTTAAAACAAATTTGTTTGGTCGAAAACTAGAAGTATCATCGATGAGTTATTTCTTTCAAGATCATCTTTACGATTTTCGAAGGTCGTCGCCATTTCTTGCGCAATTAACACCTATTGTTTATGATACAGCATTGCAGTGCATGCCAAGGCAAATTTAATGACCTACGACACTATGACCTTTAAATGGCCTTCAGTGTAATAATGACGCTAGAAAGTGTTCGTTAGGCCGAAGAAAAATAATGAAATAAGTCGTGAGAAGGAAAGGAAATGACGGCAATATTATCGGGAGAAACAACACACTGCAACGAATAGCAATAATAATTTCGTTTCACAAAATTCTGGTGATATACAAGACCCCGGCTACAGTGCAGTTAATTAATGTCAAAATCAAAACAACTCGAATAAAAATAAAGTTTCCAAGCTAAAATTTTTACCGATGATTTGTGCACGTGATATTGAAGAAAATTGTGTATGGATTTTACAGTCCAATAATTTTTTCTTTCTCAAAAGTGAAAGTTGGAAAATTAATTTCTACGTAATTTGATTTTGCATAAGAAATACTATAGAAATATATCTTCTCAAAATTCTTTTTGTAAAATGACTGGTATTTGATTTTCACCTGAATCCCCCCTTCCCTCCCTTAAAAACAGAGTTGACAATGTGTCGAAAATGACAGCGAAAAGATCGAGAGCTGGATTATTATTGATGCATTGGATTGCCCGAAAAGTTCATGCTGATTTTGAAGGAAAATCGAAGCGCAAGAGATTTACATTTTAGTATACATTTATTATATTATATGTATGTATACGTAGGTTTCATTCTTTTCTACAACCTTTTTCCATCTTTCAGGCAACTTGAAAATTCTGTCCTGTCAGAATCTCTCAGGTTTCTCAGCGAAGAACTTTTCTGCGTGATTTTTTATCTTGACCAAAGAGTCGAAGCTTTTTACCGCCAAGGGAATTTTGTAACGATCGAAATAGGTGGAAATCAGAGGGCGCAAGATCTGGCGAATACGACGGATGGGGTAGAACATCTCGAACGAGCTCCGACAACTTTCGTCGAGTTATCAAACACACCCGAGGCCGCGCACTTTGATTTCTTTCATATTCGAAGGCGTATAAAACTGACAAAAATTAACGTATCGTAACCAAATTTTTTTTCCAAATATGCCTGAAAGTACCGTGTTTCACGATACGTACGCGTGTCGTTTGATTTCAATCGTTCCGATATATTCAGACCTGACCTTACGTCGTCTATCAAAAATCGGCACGAACTTTCCGAACGACCTAATAAATTGCTGCAGAATTTATGTTTGTTTAAAGTGGCTATAGAACGATTCACTTTACCAATGCGATTTACATAATTTCCGTTGCTTCGCACTATTTCCATTTTCCTTACAGTATGATATTTACGAATGATAGTGGTGGTACATCGAGAATCGTATATAAGAATTATGACGTTGCCGCGTCACGCTTACGCTGCAATAACATGAACGCTTAGGCCAGCCTGCTCTGTCCAAAGTTGATCGCGCCGATGCTATCTTCTTAATTTTTGCAACAACGAAGAATGCTTCCGTGCGCGCGGGGGGATGCGATGAATTTTGCGGTTCCCCGATAACGAAGTCCGTATTCTCTCGATCGAGAGCCGACGCGGTGCCGTGAAATGGCGCCTCCCATTCGCTTATCCGGAAAAGAAACCGCACGCTCGGTCGGTTCAGATCCGTCCCGGATAAGGTCGCTCCTCGACCCCTGGAAAATGGTTGGCTGGTTTAAAACAGTGACCCCCGTCGCTCCTGTCCCCTTGTCACCCTGTTGGCCGTGAGCTCTCTCTCTCTCTCTCTCTCTCTCCCTCTCTCTCTCTCTCTCTCTTCTCGGCCGATTTCGGAGCGGTTTCGGGAGCCGCACAATGGCTATCGGCTTTGACGGTGCGCGTAGCACGCGTCTCTGCTTTCTGGCCGGCGCGATATCTCGATCGCAATAAATTCACATTAACCTATCTGCCGGTGTGTGGCCGTGGCCGCAGCTTTAATACATCCCATCGGCTCGCCCGCCCCTCTATCGGCCGCGGATCCGCTTCGTTGTCGGCGCCGATTTTAATTTTCCAATTTTACGAGTATCCCCCGACCTTCCCCGGCCGACCGCCGCGATTCCTTCTTTCTCTCGTTTCCGAGATGCTTCCGATGCTTCTTCCGAGGGACGTCCGTGTCGACGAGGATTTCTGAGCCGGCGCGACCGGAAACATTCGCGCCGACTTTCCGACAATCGGAACCCGACGTTCCCCTTTTGCCTACAGATTCTTGTGCAATATTCGAGGTATTTATTTTGAAAGTGGCTTAAGTCCATCTATACTTAAATTCAGATATTTGAGCCGTTTATTTTGAATGTGGCATAAGACACTTTTTCAAAAAGATCGAGTTAATGGTAACACTAATTACAATTGTACGGTATCTTTTCATTTTAAAAAGATTTGCAATCAATAAGTTGGGAACTATTGAGATTTGTTCGAGAGAAGTTTTGCTAATTAACGGTACAACAAACGTGTTTACTTTTGAAAGTGGCGTAAGTCGCTGTACTCGGGAAATTAATTGCGGGGCTTGGTGTAAAAGAAATAGAAACGTGTGACAAGTGTGTGTGAAGTATTGTTTTGAATTATTTTCAGTATTTTCAAAAAAGTTGTGATCACTGGACTTATATGAGTTTGGCTGAAATCGAGAAATTTGCAAAAAGATCAATATTTTATTTTTTATAATTTTGTTATCGTTTGTTTTATAATTTTGTTTCGTTGTTGTAATCGCTATCTACGCGAACTCTCTCGTTGCCTTGTTGCTTGGACGATAGCGCTATCACTGCTATCGAAACGATAGACTAACTATAGAAGAAAAGCTTCTACAATTAGTTTTTCTAACAAATCTGTATAGACGTCTATCTGGAGCTCATCTTCGCTACTACTTGTGTCACGAGACTCATTCGTGTTCGAACGTTTTGCCATTGTTCTAATAAAAAATACGAATAAATACATAGTTTGAAAATTTCTAATTGTTATCACTAACTCGCAAGATGATATTTACCAAAAAAACTTTCACCAAACAATTTATTTACCAAGAGAAGAATCACTTTTCCGATTTTCTCACTCGTTAGATCTATCTATACCGCTCGACGCTTCGAACCAGANTCACTCGTTAGATCTATCTAAACCGCTCGACGCTCCAAACCAGACCGAGTTCAGCTTTGAAAATCTTTTCCTCCAGATTTTATGATTATAAATCTCGCTATACGGTGCGTGCTATGTTCGCATACCGACCTTTCTTCTACAAACTTGCCTTATCGCTCTCTTCAAATGGCGTCTTTGAACTGCTCGGATCGTCGTGAGCACGCCTCTCGCGTTCTCGTCAAAACCCGCTGACATTTCTTGTATATATCTTAGTAATTTTACTATATTTCGATTCGATTTCTTGTGCCGTTCCAAGAGAAAACTTCAGGGAAACATGCATGTCTGAAAAAGTTGCGCTGAAATAACTCAATTCCCCGTAATCGCTAATAAACTTGAATGTCCCACGAGAGGGGACATCCGAGCGATATGCTAGAATTACGATGTCCCACGAGAGGGGACAGCGGAGTGCAAAGGGTTAAGAATCGACATCGGCGAGTCAAGATTGTTACATAGAGGTTTATTTATTGGTCGACCGTTGTTGGAAAGATCGAAGCGAGATTATCGGCTGCGAAGACAATGACCCCGGCGAACGCTTGATCGGGCGGAGGGTATGAAAGTGGATTTGAAAGAGACACGACCCATTATGTTTGGTGGCCCGATTTAAAAGGAGCATCTACTCCCCTTAGCTCCGATTCTGGCCGGACTCTTCCCACCCTTGTTAGCGATACTTCTGCGTGTCGAATCGCGCGCATGCTTGTTCTGTCAGTGAAATAATGACAATGTCATATAGCTCCGGGCCGATCCGCCACGGCGCCCCAGCCACGTGGGCGACGATTGGACGCGGATATGCTAATATGGCGTCCGTTCCGAGACATTAACTTCTCGGTTTGCCGATCCTCGCCAGACGAGTCACGTCTTCGACTCACGCCGTGGAGCGCCCGAAGGACGTCGATCACCGGATCCATTCCCTTCGGCTCTGCATCGACTGGCTCGGTTCAACGGATCGAACGGAACGGGTGCCTCGCGCACCCTCGCGACCATTCCTTTCGATTCCGCTTGCTATAACGATCATTGAATTTCATATTCTCTATACTCTTCCATGCTCCATCGTCTTTCAGGTTCTCTCCTACCTCGACGACCCCGTATTCCTTTGCCTCGAACAACTTCGAAAATCGGGGTTTCGTTTCTGTTGAAACGTTTCTTCGAGCTGACATCCTGGTTAATTTGCTTCGAGCGGATCGATTTGACTCGGGCTAGTTAACACGTCGAATGCCACGCCGGTTTTACGGGAATTCTCCGTGGCGCCACGATGAATTTTCTTTTATGCGATACGTATGATGTTGAAATATTATCTGCGATAGATAATTTACAGCGTATAACCATGTTTGACATGTTAATTGCGACAGGGGTCACCGTTTGAATCGACGATGGTAAGAATACAAAATTTTAGATATTGACATTTTTTTTATATTATATATATTTCTATCAATTTGGGCGCGCCGGTCACCGGTGGCCCCCATAGCGTCACCGCCAAGTTAAGTACCGGTCACCGATGACCCCCGTGGCATTCAACGTGTTAACGCTAGATTTACGGAATCCGTCGAAATGACTAATTTTTTAATTTACGATTATTCATCTCGTAAAAATACATTTACGAGTTATTTATTTATTCCATTTATTTCTTTATTTATTTACGGCAAATGTTACAACAACGCTTGTTAAAAATCAGAATAAACGTCTTATCGTTGCTTTTATAAACTAATATAAAACAGACCGAGGAAAAGCGAGACTCGCCGCAATTTTCTCGGTGAATGTAATCGCACGAATCGTATTATATTACACGTCGAGAAATATCGCAAATCCATCGACTTATTCTACTCCGAGACCACCTTTACACGAACATCTTTAATATCCTAATTACCTGTGATTAAACATACTAATATGGAAATCCGTCCACGCGCGACGATCCGTGAACAGCTGATACCGATCAGTTTTTTTCAGAGATTTCAAACAACGGAAATACGTAGTCTCGCCCCGTTCGAATGGCAGATGATTTCACGTGACGTGAGATTAGTATGTTTCCAGTTGAATTGGTAATCGACCATCGCGTGCCAATGGATTTTTTTATCCGTAAATAAATAAATAAAAACACAGATTTATTCTGGACTGGCACACGTATTCGCAGTTCAGACGATCCCCGATCGAGGATCAGCCCGGTCACCCCGATTCTCGATTAGCCACGGTGCTTCGTCGCGATTATGTAACTTGACTGCGAACACGCAGCTTACACCGGTCTCACGATGATCCCCGTCTCGGCGTTTCGATCTCGACCAGCCGTCGCTAACCGATTTTCACCGTTCGCGATCGCACTTTTCCCCGGGCATATGCTCCGATTCTGGCCGATGCTTTTTCACACGGATAGCAGCTCCGCGATTGCTCGGCGCTCCCTCGTTTCGGAGTAGTCCCGATCCACGCGCGATCCGCTGCTTCTCGTTGGCCGATCGTTCGCCGACGCCTCGCCGAGAAACAGCGAAACGTCTCCGTCGAAACGCTCCGGTGGCCGTTCTAGAAACCGCGAATCGTCGGGAACCTACCGTTTGCGAACGAGGAAGCGAGAACGTCGTGGCCAGCATATCGCCGGCATCGCTGGATCCTTCTGTCCTGTCGCGGCGCTGTAAATCCGCGGCGAGCGGACAGCCGCCGAATCCGAAGCGGATACCGCGCGGCGCAACAAAGACCTGTCTGGATGGCCGAAAAAACGGACAAAACAGCGAGGAAAAAAAACAAAAGCGCTGTCGTGCGGTGCAGAAGCGAGCTGGCCGCGGCTCGAAATAGAAAGGACCGGCCAGGCGGGCAATAATTCGAAACAAAATGTCAAGCGACCGCCATTGTCGGGTGCGGTGGTGCGGTAGGCGCCAACCAACGCCGACGAGAAAATATCGCCGACAGTAAATCAAGGTGCAGAAGAGGACCCGCCGCCTTCCACCGCCCTCCACCCCTTCTCGTCCTCCCTCCGCTCCGTGGCAACCCCCTTCCAAAGGGCAGTTCCATCCCTCCGGGAACACGGACACGGACTGTCCAGCCGCGCGATCGCGTCCGTCCGCGCCGGCCGCTTCCGTTTCTCGTCACCGCTCGTCCCGCACACTCCGACGACGGCTTTTCGCGTCACCGTCAAGGTTGCGTGGTCCACCATGATCCTCCGGCCCGCTTCCGCGACCAATCCATCGTTCCGTGCGTTTCCGAAAAAGAAAGAAACCGTCGGAAAAGTCGCAAGACGGGGCTCCGACGGGGCTCCTTCTGTGCTCGATCTCTTTGAAATCCGCGAATCGAGTCAGTCAGTTTTATCATCGTTATTTATTTGGTGTTTACGAAGATACAAACGCTTTGCTAGATCGAAGATAATAGATCTAGATGATAGATGGAAAATAAAACAGAAACGGACGTATCGAAGGTAGAAATTTACTAACGTCGCGCCGCGTGAAATCGCGACAAGTGATTTTGGAATCATTTCCACGATTTCAGATCTATTAGAAACGCTTTCACACAAACGCTTTGTTAGATCGAAGGTAATAGATGGATGATAGATGATAGATGGGAAATAAAATAGAAACGGACGTATCGAAGGTAGAAATTTACTAATTCCGCGCCGCGTGAACTCGCAAGTGATTTTGAAATCATTTCTACGATTTCAAATCTATTAGAAACGCTTTGACACAAACGCTTTGTTAGATCGAAGATAATAGATAGATGATAGATGGGAAATAAAATAGAAACGGACGCATCGAAGGTAGAAATTTACTAACATCGCGCCGCGTGAAATCGCGACAAGTGATTTTGAAATCATTTCCACGATTTCAAATCTATTAGAAACAGATCGGGTCGCGCTGTTCATATAGCGTCACGCGTGGACGGATTTCACGTTATTCCGGAAATTGTGTTTCACGTGACATTATACTTCCGAACACTTTTAACTTCGAAATCTAAATCATGGGAACCGAACACGTAATGGAAGAATTACTCATTAAGATTGTAAGAAGATTGTAAGAAATTTTACTTGACATAAAGTCAAATGAAACATTTTATGTTCTGCTACCACCAACGCTCTCAGCTTTTCGCACTGAGTCGGAGGGGGCTTCCGATTTGATATCTAATTACCTACTAGATTGTTCGAAGGAGAATTAAGACTCGATCTCGCTAGAGTTTCCACGTCGACGAATGACTCGAAACTGGCCCGATTTCTGGTCGCGTTTGGGCCGTTTATATAGCCAGATTTTCTCTGTGAAAACGGTAGTGGGGGGTGTTCCTATGTGGTCCGATTCCAGAAACGTTCGTCGTCGTACCCCTTGGAGGTAAATTTTTTAGAAAGGAATTAACACCTCTGGGGCACACGCAGTGTCCCAATTGTTGCACCAAGGCCTCCGAGTTCTAGGAGAAGCATGGAAGCATGCCCGAGGGGTGGTTGCTTTCGGTATTTCGTAAAAGATCGAAGGGTCGAATCGGAACGACACCCGTCGTCCGACGGGGGGCGGCGGACAGAAAAGTTTCCCGCCCTGCTTAAATATGTCCGACCGCAGAGCAATAAAATATCTTTATCTTACTCGTGCCATTACTCCCTTGATTCGGTGGGGTTCAATTTACATTCCTATCAGGGCGTTCGGAAAGATAAGTTCATTTAAATAAATTAGTAACGCTATCTCCTGCTCGGGGCCGCGCGCCGCGCCAAGGGTGGGGATGGATTTAATAATATTTTATCAATTTTCGCGACGATTCGTTACGCGGTGACGGCGTTCACCATTGTTCCGTGGCACACAATTGCCCGAGTTTTCAACTTTGAACCGCGATGAATCGGCTCGCGCGATATTCCTGGGAAGATAAGCGCTCGCGGAAACGTTCTCGCTGCCTGCGGGAACCTTCGGCGACGAGTCATCCGATCGTGATTCGACGAGACCGGAGCGCCGCCTGAGCGCGGAACGATATTCGAGGAAATTCCGGTAGCATAATTCTCGGGCCGACACGGCTGACAGCGGTGGGATTTTTGAAAACGGATCGCTGGGACGCGGCCGCCGTGTTCCCCTTTCGGGCCGGCCTGCACGCAGGACAATATAATGGGGCATAACAACGGCGTTAACACGCGCCGGTCGACCCCGGACGCGACCCGCGACCCTACCCTGCTGAATTACGCCTCTGATAATTACCAGAAATTAATGCGCGAGCCTTACACCGGTCATCGCGAGTCGCGTCGTTTAACCCGTCTCGCGTTTACCTGCTTTTATGCTGTTAATCGCGACACCCGAGAGTCCTCTTCCCCCCGGTCTCTGGGTCCTCGACGACCCTTTCGCCGCGTGTCACCCGAAACTAATCGGACCGGTCCACGGGCTCGTGCGCGGTTTTCATTTCGATTGAAATTTCCCGCACAATATTTCCGTAACAGTTGTGTCTCTAGCGCGTCGCTCGACAGCTTTGATTTTCTCCCTTGCGATTAATTAATTGCAAAATAAAAGAAGTGTCGAGTCAAAACGAGAACGAACGTATTTTTATGTCGCGATTACCAAGGGTTGTGAGACGACTAATTTGTTGAAAACTACGGAGCGTCGAGTTAACGAGAACGAACGTTTACGATTTAACACGTTGAACGCCACGTCACCCATGTCTGGGTGACGGCTATGTTTCCGCGGTCTTCGACCAATTAAAACAGGATTTTGGTGGTGATTTATAGTAATTTTATTTGTAACACAAGTATGACGAGTATAGACAATGTAAGGTAACAATAAAGTATAAAGTAAAGAAAAACGAACATTAAAAATATATACTTATACTAATAATAAAACAAAATAATAAAATATAAAATATACTTGTACTAATGATAGAACGAAATAATAAAATATCGCGGTAGACTTTCTCCCGGCACCAGGAACTATAACGTATTGACCTGAGCGTCCAGAGTCACCCCAATTATATTCACAAATGTTATCATATTTTACAAACAAATTTAAATATAAGCATAATTTGTTCGTATAAGTATATTTTATATTTTATTATTTTATATATATAAGATAAGCCATGAATCACAGCGATGATAGTAGAGCATCTGAACGAAGCGAAATAATTATATAATAATTATATAATAATAATAATAATATACAGGGTGTCCCACAATTATTTTAACAGCCGAAAATGAGGGGTAGCTGAGGTCATTTGAAGTAACTTTTTCCTTTGCGAAAATGCAATCCGCGGCTTTGTTTACGAGTTATTAACGAAAAACACTGGCCAATGAGAGGTGACGGTGCGAGAGAGAGAGTCCGCGAGAGAGTACGCAGCACGA